TCAAAGTTCTAAATTGGAGGAAGGCCAATTTTGATGATATTTGGCAAGAACTTTCAAAAGTTGATTTGAGACAGATGTTCATAGGTGAAGGGATATCTGGAAAATGGAAAGCCTTCAAAAATGAGATAACGAGAGTCCGGTGACAGTATGTTCCTGCTCGGGTGAAGGACAAGTCTGGTTGGCATAGGAAATACTGGATGACTGGAGAAATTGAGGTTTCGATCAAGAATAAGTAAGAAGCATATGTCAGGTATAGACAGCAGAAATCGAGTGATTCCCTAAGGACAAAAGGGTAACTAGGGAGAGAATAGGGCCCCTTAAAGATCAGCAATGCCACCTACGTGTGGCACTGCAGGAGATGGGAGAGATACTAAACAAGTATTTTGCATTATGTTTACTGTGAAGAAATGGTAGATAGAACACATGGGGAAATAAATAGCAAAATCTTGAAAAAGTCCGTATTACAGAGGAGGAGGTGCTGGGCATCTTAAAACACGAAAGGTAAATAAATCCCCGGGACCTGATCAGGTGTACTCTAGAACTCTGTGGGCAGCAAGGGAAGAGCCACATTCATAGCCACAGGTGAGGTGCCAGAAGACAAAGTTGGCTAACATGGTGCCACTGTTTAAGGAAGGTGGTAAGGAAAAGCCAAGGAACCACAGACCGGTGAGCCTGAAATCAACATTGGGTGATTTGTTGTAGGGAATCCTGAGGGACAGGATTTACATGTATTGGAAAGGCAAGGACTGATTAGGGATAGTCAACATGGCTTTGTACATGAGAAATTGTGCCTCACAAACCTGACTGAGATTTTGAAGAAGTAACAAAGAGGATTGATGAGGGCAGAGTGGTGGACATGATCTATATGGACTTTAGTAAGGTGTTCGACAAGGTTCCTCATGGTAGACTGGTTGCAAAGTTTGATCACACAGAATAGGGGGAGAACTCGCTATTTGGATACAGAACTGGCTAGAAGGTAGAAGACAGAGGGTGATGGTGGAGGGTTGCTTTTCAGACTGGAGGCCTGTGACCAGCAGTGTATTACAAGGATTTTGTCATTTATATAAATGTTGTGGATGTGAACATAGGAAGTATGGTTAATAAGTTTGCAGATGACACCAAACTGGAGGTATAGTGGACAGCAAAGAAGGTTACCTCAGAGTACAGCAGGATCTTGATCAGATGGGCCAATGGGCTGAGGTTTGACAGATGGAGTTTAATTTAGATAAATGTGAGATGCTGCGTTTTGGAAAGGCAATTCAGGGTAGGACTTATAGACTTAATGGTAAGGTCCTGGGGAATGTGGCTGAACAAAGAAAACTTGGAGTGCAGGTTCATTGTTCCTTGAAAGTGGAGTTGCAGGTAGATAGGATAGTGAAAAAGGCATTTCGTATGGTTGCCCTTATTGGACAGTGCATTGAGTACAGGAGTTGGGAGGTCATGTTGCGGCTGTACAAGACATTGGTTAGGCCACTGTTGGAATACTGTGTGCAGTTCTCGTCTCCCTGCTATAGGAAGGATATTGTGAAATTTAAAAGCAGTGGCAGGATCAGACAGAGTCAGCATGGATTTATGAAAGGGAAGTCATGCTTGACAAATCTGTTGGCATTGTATAAAGATGTAACTGGTAGAGTTGACAAAGGGGAGCCACCCAATGTAGTATATTTGGACTTTCAGAAAGTGTTTCACAAAGTCCCACATAAGAGATTAATGTGCAAGATTAAAGCTCATGGGATTGGGGGAATTGTATTGAGATGGTTGGCAGAGAGGAAACAAAGAGTAGGAATTGATGGGTCCTTTTCAAATTGGCAGGCAATAACTAGTGGGGTGCCACAAGGATTGGTGCTGGGACCCTAGCTATTCCCAATATATATTAATGATTTGGATGAGGGAATAAAATGTAACATCTCCAAGTTTGCAGATGATACCAAGTTGGGTGGGAGGGTGAACTGTGATGAGGATGCAGAGATCTTTAAGCATGATCTTGACAGGTTGGGTGACTGGGCAAATCAAGGCAGATGCAGTATAATTTGGATAAATGTGAGTTATTCACTTTGGAAGCAAAAGCAAGAAGGCAGATTACTACCTGAATGACTGTAAATTGGGAGAGGGGAGTGTGTAGCGGGACCTGGGTGTCCTTGTGCACCAGTCGCAGAAGGTAAGCATGCAGGTGCGGCAGGCAGAAAAGAAGGCAAATGGTATGTTGACCTTTATCATGACAGGTTTCGAGCACAGGAGCAGGAATGTGTTGTTGCAGTTGTACAGGGCATTGGTGAGACCACACCTGGAATATTGTGTGCAATTTTGGTGTCCTTTTCTGAGGAAGGATGCTCTTGCTCTAGAGGGAGTGCAGTAAATGTTTACCAGGCTGATTCCAGGGATGGCAGTCTGACGTATGAGGAGAGATTGACGAGGTTGGGATTTTTTTCACTAGACTTCAGACGAATGAGGGGGATCTCATAGAGACTTATAAAATTCCAACAGGACTGGACAGGGTTGATGCAGGGAGGCTGTTCCTGATGGTGGGTGTGTCCAGAACCAGGGGTCACAGTATGAGGATTCAGGGTAGACGATTTAGGATGGAGATGTGAAGACATTTCTTCACCCAGAGAGTGGTGAGCCTGTGAGATTCATTATCACAGGAAGTAGTTGAGGCCAAAATATTGAATGTATTCAAGAGGCAGCTAGATATAGCACTTGGGGCAAATGAGTCAAAGGTTATGGGGAGAAAGCAGGATTAGGCTATTGAGTTGGACGATCAGCCATGATCGTGAAGAATGGCAAAGCAGGCTCAAAGGGCCAAACAGCCTCCTCCTGCACCTATCTTCTATGTTTCTATGTGAGGGTTCAGAAAAGATTTACAAGAATGTTGCCACAATTGGAGGATTTGAGCTATAGGGAGAGGCAGAATAGACTGGGGCTTTTTTCCCTGGACTGTCAGAGGCTGAGGGGTGACCTTATAGAGGTTTCTCAAATCATGAGGATTTTATAAGATAAGATGAATAGCCGAGGTCTTTTGCCCAGGTTGGGGAGTCCAAAAGTAGAGTCCATAGGTTTAAGGTGAGAAGGGAAAGATTTAAAAGTGACCTAATGGGCAACTTTTTCACGCAGAGAGTGGCGCACGTATGGAATAAGCTGCCAGAGGAAGTGGTGGAGGCTGATACAATTATAATATTTAAAAGGCATCTGGATGGGTATATGATTAGGAAGGCTTTAGAGAGATATGGACGAAATGCTCGCAAATGGGACTAGATTTATTTAGGATATCTGGTCGGCATGTATGAGTTGAACCGAAGGGTCTGTTTCCATGCTGTATATCTCTATCACTCTATAATAACTGTTTCAAAGACTACAGGGCAAGAGTAGATGAATGGAGTTAAGTGGAGAGCACTTACAGGAATGAAAGTTCAAATGGACTCCTAGTATGGTGTAATTTCTGTAACTCTATGATTACAGGAAAGAAATGAAATTATTCAAGGATGTACAAAGAAACTCTAACTGATTTCTCTCCACACATGCTGCAAGACCTGCTGAGTGTTTCCACCAATTTCTTTTGTTTCTGATTTCCAGCATCCGCAGTTCTTTCAGTTTTTCACAAAGGTGACTTGAAATATCTCCTCCTCCTCTTTTGCAGAGAGTAAAGAAAATTAATGCCTTCCAGATTTAAATTGGTTTCAAAAGAAGTTCTTCTCTTAGGCATATGATTCCACAGAAAATGATTTAAACCTATGAATGTCAGATCTTTACCCAACTGATCAACGCAGCACAAATTAATTGATTTCTTTGTCCACATCTTATCTTATTTGGCTTCATATTGCCCTCTCATAATAGTAACTATTCTCTGAAGCAAAATAATTTCTCCCCAGAAAAAACAACTTAGATAGCACCTTTTTCTTACCTCTTCAAAACCCAAAACCATTCATATATTTAGAGTTATAGAATCATACAGCACAGAGACAGACCCTTCGGTCCAACTCGTCTGCACCGACCCCAAACAGACGAGCCCCATTTTCCAGCATTTAGCCCATACCTTTTTAAACCTTTCTTATTCATGTACCCATCCAGATGCCCTTTAAATGTTGTAATTGTACCTGCCTCTACCACTTCCTCTGGCAGCTTGTTCCATGCTTGTACCACCTTCTGCATGAAAATGTTACCCCTCAGGTCCTTTCTAAATCTTTCCCCTCTCACCTTAAACCTATGCCCTCTAGTTTTGGAATCTTCCATCCTAGGAAAAAGACCTTGGCTCTTCATCTTATCCATGCCCCTTATGGTTTTATAAACCTCTGTTAGGTCACCCCTTAGCCTTTAACGGTCCAGGGAAGAAAGCCCCAGCCTATTCAGCCTCTCCCTATAGCTCAAACCCTCCAGTTCCAGCAACATTCTAGTAAATCTTTTCTGCACCCTTTCAAGATTAACAACATCCTTCTTATAGAAGGACAACCAGAATATATGTACTATTCTAAAAGTGGCATCAACAATGTGCTATACAGTCACAACATGATGTCCCAACTCCTATACTCAGTGTTCTGACCAGTGGTCCATCTGTTTTGCAGAAAGAAACCTATATGTGAAACTATTAATTGTTGACTTTCTGCTCCCTAAGTTGGCCAATCAGCTTTGTATTTGTTGATAGAAAACTAAAATTATTATTCCACACACAACTGATTAGTAAGTCCCAGATTCAGTCCCATGTGCCATTTTATTTTCTTTATCATTTGCTTCCAAATGTCACCGTGTCAGTTACATTTTCATTTGATTTCTTCCAGATATTCTCTTTATTCAGGTAAAATGATCTCATCACCAAAATTACATAAGTTAATCAAGTTTTATTTCAAATATCAATTCACATCAGCACAAATCTACAAATTCACAAAATAACTGTTTCCAATATTTTCTTAGACATTGTGTGTACAAACCACTCCTTGTCTCAGTAAATTCCACTTGTTACTACGTTTATGTATGTGGGTTTCCTCTGCCACATTGGTCTTCCTCATCAGCTAGTTTGCTGCAAGTTTTGTGTATTTTTTTAATGGTAGTTCCACCTAAGCTGTTCCCCGTGCTGCTAGTGCAAGTGTCACTTTACGAAGTATTCCCTGGTACTGAGGCCATTCCTCCTGGATACGAGCAACAATAGTGTTGATGGTATGGATTCGATTCTCTTGTTTCTGTGTTTCATTCCTCAGTAAATGTTCAGATTTGCACTGTTGTATGTACTTTCCTTCTTTCACAGCCTGTAGGTGTTTGAGTCGTGTCTGTAATGTCACTATTTTGGTCAGATTCTGAACAACGAGAAATAGTAAATATGTTTCAATGATATTTAATGGTCTCATTTAAGTTACTGTTTATTATCTCCAGCCAAAAATGCATTTTCAGTAGTCTGTTCATGTACTTCTTTGGTATTACTACACTATATATCAAGATGATACAATGTAATTTGTCATTTTTTGATTCCTTCACACAATGAGTTTCCCACAGAGAAGGAAAAGAGATAAAGAAAGGGAAAAAATGAACTATAATTGTGTACATTTGAGTGGCTGAATTTTGTTGCATTATTGTCAAATTACAAATGCAAAATACCACAAAAGAGGCTTTTCCCTCCCTCGCCTCATATTCCCTACTATGATGATTTATTGCAAGTTATGGAACATAATAGGGAATGTATTCCTCTGCTTGCTTTATGTATCACATAGGAGCGAACTTAGAGTATCTATGGTGCAGATTTTTGACTAGATTCACGGCTTCACTTGCCATGCACCATCACATCATTATCAAATTTGTTTATTACCCTATATATGATGCATTCTGTCAACCATAACTTTTCATTGACATCAAATTAGAAATTAAAATGTATTTAAATGCAACAGGGTACATAATGGAGACAACATACTCATTTGCTTTCTTCATAAATTGGAACATTTTAATATTCTTTTTTCAATGCATCATGGGTAACTGAATCAAATGGTAAGCCACATTGAATTAAAAAGGGTTGAAATTTATCCAAACTCAGTTTAAGATTTGCTAATGAACTAGTCATACCCTGGTATACTACATCCAAGCTCAAGTGAAGTACAAGCAGCGGTAAAGTAGGGAAAAGATGTGGGTGTTCATGGAATTATCTTCCAAGCACAAGTTACTGGTTTCAGAAGAGGTACAGAAAAGAAGAGACTGTTACACGAATGTTGCATTCATACACAATGAGAAAAAGAATGAATACGTTTGATTAGTAAAGAAGGAATGAACAAATATGGTTGATTAGCAGTGCAGAGAAAATGCATTGCTGTCTAGAGAAGGACTCCGCATTATCATAGTTATTATTCAATATTATTTTTACATCATTTACTGCAATCCAATATATTTTGTTGCATATCATTAATCATTAAATACTTCGGTAAATTTTTCTTGATGTAAATCGAGTGTTTTCAAAAAATTGGTCCACCGATTCTACTTTCAGTTCTGTATGTTCATACAAATAAACATGTATGTATTCTTCATCCATGCAACACCATTTTATTTAAATTGCATCAAATATTGCATCCAAGTTGTTTGTTGTAATTTTTTATGTGATAGGAAGTGTCACAACAGATGTATCTGTGTTACTGCTGTGTGACGACATTTGCACTGACAAGGAACTGTCATGTTTTTACTGCTGTTTTTACCTGCTGCGGAACTGTAGGTTGATCGCAAGTTCAGGCCGAAACACTTGGAGATGTTTCAATGTTCAGTCATTTTTTTGTATAAATTGGACACATACAAAAACACAAATATCTGCGAATAGAAGACTTATATTCCACTCTCGATCCATGGAATTATATCTGTATTTGTGTCTTTGGTTTTGATCTATGTCTATGATTAGTGAGCTGGTATCCATACTGACTGAGGCAGTAAAATGGGGTTCAGTGACTAATGTCAGAAAGGAGAAAAATAGGTCAGTATTTCAACTCTTGATTCTTTTCCAACAATGCCATTAGAAGTGTGAATATTTGGACATTGGCAAGAAAGGATGATGTGTTATATCTCCTTATCTCTATGTTATGAGACTGTAGAAGCTCAACAATGGCAGTTAGCCAAGTTACTGAAAGGCATCCAGCAATTATGGAAAGTATATTAAGAGTTAATGACTTCAGAACAGTGCAGGAGGAATGTGGGATATAACTGAGGACTTTTTTTACAGGCTTCATGAAGAGGAAATCATGCCTGACAGATTTATTATAATTCTTCGAAGGGGCAACAAGCAAAATTGATAAAGGAGAAGCAGTGGATGTAATATATTTGGATTTCCACAACACATTTGATAAAGAGCCAATAGGCTACTTAATAAGGCAAGAACCCATGGTGGTAGAGGTAGTATATTAGCATGGATAAAAGATTGACTAACTAATAGAAGACGGAGAGTTGGGATAAGAGGGGCCATTTTCAGGATAGCGACCTGTAAATAGTGCAGTACCACAGGGAACAGTACTAGGACAGCCATTATTTAGAATATACATGAATAACATGAATGAGGAAAATGAGTGTACTTGTAGATGGCACAAAAATAGATGGGAAGGCAAGTGGTGAAGATGACACAAAGAGTATGCAGAGCAATATACACAGGTTAAGTGAGTTATCAAAATCTTGGCAGTTGGAATATAATGTGGAAAAATTTAAGGTATGCACTTTGGCAGGAAGAACATATAATGAAAATACATGTGGATCTTAGTCTGATGAAGGGTATTTCGTGGCCAACATGAGCTCTAAATGTTGATGAGTTTAACACTTTCATGTATTATGTAAAAATCAGAAAATCTCTTGAAGTGTGACAATGTGAAACATATTAGAATCACCTCTTTATTGATTTTGCTGGAAATATCTTCTTTCTTCTCATTCTGCAAATATTTACTTTAGTGCTCAATTCCTTTATATAGAATCCTATACAATACCTAATTTTGATTCTGCTGTGTTGTTTCACATGCTGTCTGTGTAAAACGGGCTCCAATGCAGACAATGGATGTCTCACTTTAATGGAATTAGGTTTGAGAAATGTACTTCCATTTTCAAAATAGGTAGCAATCATTCTCGGTCATGCATTGATAACATTAAACTTAAGTTATTTTGATTAGCTTAATTAATTGTACCTAGTTATCATATAAGATAAAATAGTTTCTTAACTAATTACTTAAATATCTGCTTTTATACGTCAATTAAGCATGAATACCCTCCATCTCATCAAGCAAATCTTACCGCTTGTTTTCTTTCCTGTTGAGATTCTATGTTTGCATTAAGTTGATCAACCATAGACTGCTGATCCTGAATCTGACACTGCTTTTCTTCCAGTTGATGACACACACTTCTCTGTGATTCCCTCAGCTCTTCAATAGTTCTGTCAGATTCTTCTATGTTCTAAGGAAAAAACAGTGACCAGAGTGAAACCAATAACATCACTTAACATTGTGAAGAAACGCATGGTCAGCTAAATTGAAAAAAGTGAATTTGAATGGTCTGTAGCTGTTTACAAGCGCACAATAATCTGCTCAGTGATGCCCCCAGTTTGCGTTCTGCCAGGGCCACTCAGCTCCTGACCTCATTACAGTATTGGTTTAAACATGAACAAAAGAGCTGAATTCCAGAGGTGAGATGAGACCAACAGCCCTTGACATCAAGGCCGCATTCGACCAAGAATGGCATCAAGGAGCCCTAGCAAAACTGTGAACACTGGACATCGGGGGCAGACTTTCTATTGGTTGGAATCATAACTGGCACGAAGGAAAATGGTTATGGTTGTTGGATGTCAATCATCACACCTCCAGGACATCTCTGCAGGAGTTCCTCAGGGTAGTGTCCTAGGCCCAACCATCTTCAGCTGCTTCAGCAATGACCTTCCCTCCATCATATGATCAGAAGTGGGGATGTTTGCTGATGATTGGACAATGTTCCGCACCATTTGTAACTCCTCAAATATTGAAGCAGTCCATGTTCAAATACCACAACATCTGGACAGTATCCTTTCTTGGGCTGACCAATAGCAAATAACATTTTTGCCACACAAATGCCAGCAAATGACTATCTCTAGTAAGAGACAATCTAATCACCACTTCTTGACATTCAATTTTGTTGCCATCACTCAACTCCCCCTCTATAAACATCCTGGGGGTTACCATTGACCAGAAACTCATCGGACTCACCGCATAAACACAGTAGCTACAACAGCAAGTCATGCGCTAGGAATACTGCTTCGAGTAACTTACCTCCTGATTCCCCAAAGCCTGTCCATCATCTACAAGGCAAAAATCAGGAATATGATGGAATACTCCCCATTTGCCTGGATATGTGCAGCTCCAACAACACTTAAGAAGCTTGACACTATCCAGGACAAAACAGCCTGCTTGATTGGCTGATTGGCACTACATGCACAAGCACCCACTCCCTCCATCACCAATGCTCAGTAGCAGCAATGTATATTATCTACAAGATGCACTGCAGAAATTCACCAGATTCTTAGACAGCACCTTCTGAACCCACAATCATGTCCATCGAGAAGGAAAGTGCAGCAAATATATTGGAACACTGCCACCTTCAGGTTCCCCTGCAAGCCAATCACCATGCTGACTTGAAAATATATTGCTGCTCCTTCACTAACACTGGGTCGAAATGCTGGAACTTCCTCCCGAAGTGCATTGTGGGCCTGCCTACAGCATACGGACTGCAGTGCACCTTCTCAAGACCAGCTGGCCAGTCAGCAATGCTCACATCCCACGAGTGAATAAAAGAAAACAATTCAATCTGATTGGTCAATGGGTTGCCAAAACTTCAACTGGGTGAAAATGCATAGTGCATATTTATTTAATTGCAAAGGCTTGTTAGAAATATTCAATCTCATTTATCTCACCTTTTGAACATCTGCAATTTTCTTGCATAGGTCTTCTATCCTTTTATGACAATCTTGTTTAGTAATTTGCTTCTTGCCCAATTTGGCTTGTGCTTCTCCACGTGTCACAATTGTATCCCTGCGCAAGACAACAGCCTCCATTTCACGAATCATTTGCTCTTGCTGCCTCACAAGTTGACTGTGACGTATCTTTGGATCAAGAATATGGATTTTACACAGTGATTTTACAACAAAGTAAGAGAACCATTCACATCAAGTAACTTAGTTTGAATTCATCACAGACAAATGCACGTCTATTGTCAGATGGTTGCTGAGAATTATGTGAAATGAATCTAGTTAATTTCCATGACAATTGACATGAATTTAATAACTACAAATACATTAGAAATAAAACTACTACAGTATCGCTTGAAAGAATAATCAAGTGAGTGTGCCACAATTACTGTCATATCTTTTGAAATAATTTATACTTGTGAATATTTCTATATACAGTCAATAAAGAATAAAAGCAAAAATGGAATACTTAAATGTGATATACAAAATATCCTGGGATTAATCTTGGGTATCTTAAATAACTCCACGAAGACCAGTATCCTGTCATCAAGTCACCCTTTATTTACACATGCATTGTACATGACACTCAGCCAGCTAGCTCAAAGCAGGCTCCCAGAGCGAACAGAACCCCAGATATTCCTGTTTATATCTGTCAGCGAGGACTCCCTGTTTGGACTAGGCTAACAGCCCCAATCAGGGAACTCATATTCTATGAGGTCCACCTGGCTGACCTTGTTCCAATCACTACATCCTTCCCCTCTGAGTCCTGGGATGTAGGCACATTCTTTTTCCCACAGCTTCTCCTGGGGTATTTTTGCACCAGATCCAGTTCCTGCAACTCTGCCTCAGGTACTGATGGGACATACTGCACCATAGCCTGCCTCTTGCACCTGCAGCATCTTGGCAAAAATTCATCTTCTTCTTCAGCATCCAGGCTGTGACATCTGCCGTGTCCACCTCGACCTCAGAGCTTTCTTGAATGCTAGGCAGAGGGGGAGAACTCACGGGTTCTGACAGCCATGCCGGATGTTCTGAGGGTCCGAGTACGTTTTGCTCTGCCCCGTTTGTGAGGTTGCAGCTTTCATGCGGTCCACCTGCTTGTTCAGGACTGCCTCTCCTACCCAAACTTTGCATGTCATGGGACCTGATCTTGTGCCGACCATGCCTCTTATCCATGCAGGACCATTCCTGTAGTTTCGATACCAAACTTCTTCCCCTGAAGTAAACTGCCTCTCTCTTGTATCCGGTATTGGTGTTCCTGATGCTGTTTCACCCTCCCCACCAGGTCTAAGAAGATCAAATTTGACATGGTATGGAGTCTTCTCCCCATTGGCAACTCTGCTGGAGTGGTTGTTGTAGTTGCATGAGCAGTGGTCTAATAGTCAAATAGGAACCAGGATAGTTTGGTATCAAGTTGAGCTGTAGGCTGTTTCTTTAAGCCTGCCTTCAAAATTTGGACAGTTCTTTCTGCCAAACCATTGGATAGATGGTATGGAGCTGGCCTTACATGCCAAATGCCATTTGAATTCACAAAATACTCGAATTCCCTGCTAGTAAATGATGGCCTGTTGTCTGTAATCGACAACTCTAGGAGTCTGTGTATTGCAAAAGATGCTTGCAACTTTTCAACTGTCATCCCCGCGTTTGACATATGAACACTATGCATGTCCAACCACTTTGAATGGGTGTCCACAATGACTAAAAACATAGAGCCCATGAAAGGACTGGCGTAGACGACGTGTAACTGAGAAAAGGGTTTACCCACCCATTCCCATGAATGTGGCAATAATTATTGTCCTTCTTGGCATTCTGGGCACTGCCCCACCAATGCAGCTGTGTTGGCATCCAGTCCTGGCTACCAGACATAACATCTTGCCAATGTCTTCAATTCTAGAAACCCCTGGATGACCCTGATGGAGTTCAGCCAGTATCTGGTGGTGACCTTTGCTCAGGACAATCACTCTTGCTCCCTATAATAATATGCCATCCTCTATGCTGATCTAGTCTCATCAGGTCCAGAAAGTTTTCACTTCTAGTTGTGATGGCCGTTTTGGTTCTGCCATCACCACCAGCTGTTTTAGTTTTGCTATGACAGGATCTTTTTGTATCCATAGTCTGATATTGTCAGTGGTGACCAGTTGGTTGTCCAAAAAGTTAAAACCCATAATGTACTCTTCTACTGTATCCACCAGTAGGAGGCAGGTCAAGGCATCCATATTTTCCACTTGGCCTCCTGGATGGTGTTCTAACTTGTATTTATACACATTCAGAACAAGAGCCCACTGCTGAATTTGACCTGAAACAATGGCCTTGTCCTCTTTACGTAGTTCTAGCAGTAGTTTGTGGTCTGTTACTATTACAAATTTATGTCCATAAAGGTTTTGGTGGAACTTTCTTACACCAAAGATGACCGTTAAACCTTCCTTCTCTACCTGGAAATATCCTCGTTTGGCATCAGCCAAGGTCCGGGAAGTATATGCTATCGGGTGTTCCTCCCTGCTGAGCCACTGGTGAGCCAACACTACCATAACAGGAAGCTTTGCATGCCATTTATCACACTTCGCTTGGGATCATAGTGTGTCAACATCTTAGATGATAATAGCTGCTTCTTCACTTCCCTAAAGGCTACATCTTGGCTACAAAACCATTTCCAAGGCTGACCCTTTCTCAATAGCAGACGTAAGGGTCCCAGGATGGAGGCCAGGTTACAATTTAATTTTCTGTAATAATTCAGCAACCTAATACCTAAGCTGCAGTTCAGAAGTGGGAGCTGGGGCACATTTGGTCACTCTCACTTTCTCTGCCAATGGGTGTAACCCAGTCTTGTTGATTCTGTAGCCCAAGTAGGTCACTTGGGGTGTCTGGAACACACATTTTTTCCTCCTAGGGTGTACCCCTGCCTTGGAGAAATGTTTAAACACAATATCCAAGTTCTCTAAATGCTCTTTATTGGTCTTCCCAGTTATTAACACGTCATCCAGATAAATGTCAACTTGGAGTAGACCTTGTAAAATGTTCTCTATGGTCTGTTGGAAAATGGCACAGGCTGATGATACCCTAAAAGGCAGTCTCATATATTAGTACAAACCCTTAGGGATATTAATCGTAGCATACTTCTGGGAATCCTCATCTAATCGCAACTGTAGGTATGCATGGCTCATGTCCAACTTCGTGAAGGATAGCCGCCCCCGCCAGTTTTGTGTATTAGTCCTCTGTGCGGGGCTGTGAAAAGTTTATCAAGCTGCGAAAAGTTACTGTTTGTTTGAAATCCCCACAAAGTCTGTATGACCAGTTCTGCCCATTCCGCATACTGTACTGGTTTGATGATTCCTTCCAGCCTTCTAATTTCTGCCTCTACTTTCGCAAGTAAGGCAATGGCACTGGGCGGGCCTTGCAGAATCGTGGAATTGCTTCTTGGTCAACATATAAGGTGGCCTTGGCCCCTTTGATAGTCCCTCAACTTTCCTGAAAAACCTCCGGGTATTTAACTAGGACTTCACTCAGGCTGCCATTTTCTTATCAAAAAATTTTGAGCCAATCAAGTTAAATCTTCCTCAACCAATTTCGCCCCATCATGCTTGGGCCCAAGCCTTTTACTGCAATCAGTGGTAACTGAACCAGCTGCTTCTCATAAGAGACTGGAACTGAAATTGTACCCTTAATCTGTCAGGGTTCCACGGTATAGGTTCTTAGCCTATCTGAGGTCTTACGCAAACTTAAGGGTTGGAGTTTTGTGCAAATTTTTGTAAAGACTGATTCTGCAATCACTGATATAGTTGCACCGGTATCAACCTCCGGTGACTATTTAACCAGACATTTATCTTGATTGGGTCTGATTTTGATTGGGTCTGAATTGGATGTTGCTAAGCAATTTAACTGTTTCAAACCAGCTGGAGGTGGACCTTCCAATGTGTGCACACTCTTGGATGCTGGCCTATGAGTTCTCTTACTCCATTTAGCTCTAGTGGGACTCTTTTGCTGTCTCGAGTTCACATACTGGCAGTAACTACTGGCCGGCATCTTCGAGAAAATTCTAACCATTTGGTCGAGGTTTGGTTTTGTTTTGGAGTTTTGCTGTGGGCTGACCTACAGTCCCTCTGTTCTGGATATGTCCTGAGTGAAGCTATGCAACTGCCTTCTCTCAAGTGGTACTCCCTAAACTCAGTCGGCCTGGTAAGGGTGTCCACTCTGTCGGAATACCCTGTAAATCATAAGCTCCACTTGCCACATTTTCTGACAACAAAGCCAGTTGTGCTTCAGCTAGTAGGCCCTTTTGCATGGTCACATCATTTATCCCACTCTCATCGTCAATGAAATATCTCTGCAAGCGTCAGCATCCCATCACTAAGTGCCCTTTATTTACACACACATAGTGCATGACACTGACCCAGCTAGCTCAGAGCTGGCTCCTAGAGTGAACAGGATCCCTGACACCCCTGTTCATTTTCTTTTCTTTTAAATAGTCCCCCACACTACCACTACACCCAAAAGGGGCCCAGCAGTAGTGCTTATATTTTCCCCAAATCACCCGTGGCTGTGTGTGTATATAGTGACATAGTAAAAAGACACCATTGTGCCAAAGCTTTATATTTTCCACCACCAGGAAAGCACCTGTGTGGCTAGTGAAACATTCATAAGCAGAGCCTGATAAGGGCAATGCTTATGTGAAAAAAATGAAGGTGGGGGCGTTGGGAGAGAAGGAGGGGAATAAATCAAAATAAAGTTGGAAGGGTAAATAAAGCACTCCATCCTCCGCGGTGCTCACCTCTCCCTGAAGGCATCGAGAGCATTGGTGGATGCCACATGCTCCCTCTCCAACGGCACCCAGGACACTCCTGTTTATATCTAAATAAAAACCAAAAGAACTGCGGACGCTGTTTGTTCCTGTTTATATCTGTTAGCCAGGGCTCCCTAATTGAACCTGGTTAACAGCCCCAATCAGGGAATTCATATTCTATGAAGTCCATCTAGCTGACCTCGTTCCAATCACTGCAGTGCCTATGATTTGTAATATGTTTGTGATCTTCCTTGAAACTGCTTATGTTAGATTGTGGATATAGAATTTCTGTCTACAGCACAGCTATACCATTTAAATGCAACATTAATCAATCTGCTGATGATTTATATGAAATAAGGCCTGCATTCTTCATGTCACAAACATGGAGTCAATTTGCTCTAATTGACAGAGGTTTCTTGGTTAATTGGCAGTTATATGGCTTCTCCTTCTCCATGAAATTAGAGTAAAACATCAGGAAATAATTGGTTTTCTTTCTATTTACTTTACACAAAAATATAAAAGTTGATCCTTGTGCACCTATACAGTTATGAGGCATTTCAATAATATCATGTTTGAGTTGATTCGATTAGAATCAGAATGGTTACATTACAGGAGGCCATTCAGTCATTTGTGGTTGCACTGGCTCCGTGCAACAGCAAATCACTAAGTACCACATTTTCCACCCCCATACCCTTCTTTCCTAGTCCTGCAAAATTTTCCACCTCAGCTAATAACTTTCCCTCAAAAGCCACAACCACTTTCTCAGGCAGTGTGTTACTGACCATGACCACCTGCTACATAAAAAATTTTCTTCATGCCACCTTTGATTCTTTTGCCATACACTTTAGATCAGTGTTCTCTAGTTTTTGTCATTTCAGCAATGGGAACTGTCTCTCCCTATCTATTATGTCTAGAATCTTCATGATTTTTAATGAATACCTCTATCAAATCACCTTTCAGCCTCAGCTCCAAAGGAGAACAGTTCCAATTTTGCCGATCTTCCTAGATAACTGAAGTTCCTCAAACCTGGTGGTACTGAACTCAAACTATATCAAAGTGTGTAAAGCTTTTTTTTAGTTCATTGGTTTGCACCATCTTTGTAGATGAACTCACTTGCATCCTGTGTATCTCAGCTTTCATGGCTCGTATCTCATTCTGTCCCACATCTGAGTCAACTGCAGACCGTGCCTCTTTTGCTAGTTGAATCTTCTTCTCCCACAGCATAATCTGTCGCCTGTACATGTAAATATATAATGAAAGTATATTGGGAGAGAAAATGTAGACGTATGGAATGCATAACAATGAAAAGCAGATAGATTTCCATGAAGTTTTTATTTAAAAAGCTTCACTGTCAGGATCGGTATTTAAAAGTGAAAGTACCAATTACACAGTCCCCGTTTATTTCAGATAGCCACTGAGAGCAGACAAACATAGAAAGTAGGAATAGGAGTAGGCCATTTGGCCCTTCAGTACTCAGAAACCTGATTTTAAATTAGTTTATTTTAAGTTACGTTACTTTTTTGCCTGATTAATTGATCTGAAAGGTGGAGAGGGGACATTACTCTCAATAGCACCATCATGGTTGTCACATGAAGATAAGGTAATTGCTGTTCAGTTGGAAGAAGAGAAAAACATGAATGGTTGGAAGCCAGAAATGTGAAAGTGCTGGGATAATCATTAGAACCCATGATCAAATTACACATTCCAAATGTGTTATGAAATTGATTCTGTTATTTACCTACTTTGTAGATATTAAACTCCAACAGTTTCAGTAGTTTGTTTTTAAACTGAATTGAATTAAATAACAGACCACCTGACTTCCCTTCCTAGGTCACATGATAAAGATATTGTAAATGCCCTCTCCTAAGGTATTGTTCTCTATTTTAGTTCACAGTTGTGTGGAGATAGGACATTTCCTAGCTCTGCAAAACTGAACAGGGACGAAGTACCCTGGATGGTCTGATTTTCGTTCCTTGGGAGGTGGGCCACCTGGAATGAAAGCTGAAACTGCTGACTGCAGATGCAGCCTAGATACAAAGCCTGCATCTGTGTACTGACACTATTCTGAAATTTAATAGAAGAAAATGACACCATAAACATGTCTCCAGCCCCATCCTGACACATTCTCCTTGGCCCATCAATGCCAACTCCATGGCATCTCATATCTCCTTTGCTAAACTGTGCACCAGTATCAAACCCTGGCCTTTTATAGCAATTTAGTGCCAACTCATGCCCCTTTGTCCTCTCATTCCCCTACAACTATCTTTGCCTTCCCCTCTCCATGCCAACTCACCTAGTATCCATAATGGATAATTGCAGCTATGTGTCTATTGATGATATCAGTATTTTAGAAGAAAAACTTATTGATTATAAAAAAGTACATTTAAATTCCATCAAATAATACCATATAAAAACAAATGTTTGTACTTTGAGTTGCTTGACAGCTTTGACAGTTTCAAAGAGTTTGTGCACTCTTTAAGAACCTTCTTGCCTACATTTTGCAATCCTAAAGAGCAACTGACTCCCCCTCCCTTCTCTGTCATCGGACTGTATTCACAGTATACATCATCTGACTAAAGGGACGACTCTGTCTATAAAAAAACAATTTGAAACTAACCTGGTCTGCTCTATGCAGTCTGTTTTGTACACATCCAAAATCCAACATAAATGGTCATGTAAGAATGAACTTGGGGCATCCACGATTCAAATTCATAGTATTGAACTGTTTCAAAATGCTGTTGCCTCCACCAAACTTGTGTCACTCATTATGCCTGTGCTTGCTTAACATACATTGACTTCCAGTCAATGAACAATTCAAATTGTACATTTTCATCTTTGTGCTCAAATCCAGCATGTTTTATCCTGTTCTTACTGCTGTAACTCCCTCCAGTTCCACAATTCTCAAAGAAATGTGGTCTTCCAACTCTAGATCTTGTGCATACTCCACTCCCTTCATTTCTCTTCTCTTTGTCATCCTAGCTCTGGAATTCCCTCTCTAAATCTCTCAGCCTCATTAATCCTATAAGACCTTCCTTAAGGCTTACTTCTTTGACACATGCCCAAATATATTTCCTTTGGCTTAGTGTAAATTTTTCTCTTATATATAGAAAACCTAGGAACTTAGGAACAGGAATAGGCCATTCAACCCCTTAAGTTTGATCCACCATTTAATGAAATCATGTTTGATCACTGGCCTAATTCCACATATCTGCCTTTAGCCCATATCCCTTAATGCCTTTGCTTAACAAAAATTAGTATATCTCAGATATAAAACTAACAACTAACATCAACTACCATATGTGGAAGTGTTCCAAACCTCTACCACCCTTTGTATGTATAAGTTCTTGATAACATCTCTTCTGAATGGCCTGGCCCTAATTCTCAGGTTACGTCCCCTAGGTTTAGAATCTCCAACCAATGTAAATAGTTTATCCTCTCTTCTCATTGTTAATATCCTGAATACTTTTTATCAGATCATGCCTTAATCTTCTAAATTTAGAATGTCTCAGGATATTTTTCAATATAAAGGGACTTTATAAATGTATGTCACTTGCGTTCACTGCAAATAGAAATTAAAATTGGAGCATACACTGGTATACTTACTCTGCTTCCACAAGACTGTTAACCAGCCGTTCTTTTTCTTCCTTCAGCTGGTCCAGCTTTTGCTGTTTTTCAATAGCTTCTCGTTCAGCATCCTGGAAAGGCAAATGAATAATACTTAGATGTGTACAGCAAATTTTAATTCAAGATTTTATTCAATGTTGTGCACCATTATTCATCTTGTGATTTGCAAGTTGTCACTCACAAGTAGACAAAGCACTTTCTCCAATGAAGCCTTGGAGTTTTAGCCACCTAATTACAGATTGCTAAAATAATATATGTGCTTAGCACTTAAGTGAAGGGTAAATATTCTTTGCCACAATCTGTCTAACTTTACAAATGTTTTACAAATGTTGCTAACTTAAATTAAATACAAAATAGCTTTTTTCTAAGTCAGAAAAATATTCATCCACTGGAAAAACAAAACTTTAAAGTAAAATGCTGTATCTCATTAAACTGAAATGCAACCAAAACTAAAAGTCTCGTATGGCCAGCTTGGTTACTTATAACTAACATTATACGCTTTGCAGAGGAAAGTAAAAAAACAAGGGCACTAGTCGAAATATTCTACAGGAACTTTTGGGCAAAATTTCAAAACATAAAAATACAGGTAAGAAAAGTCCTGTTAGATCACGATGCCTGCCTCTAATTCGTAATGCCTAGAGCATTATGGCAGCTACTATACCCACATGCAACTATGTAATTTCATGAGCAATTGAAAAAAAAACAAAACCCAGGACCAATAGTGATGAAACAATTTGGAAAGTCTCCTCTGACTGTGTGGTGATCAAAATCATTTGAGGTAATCATTCGATTGCATGTAAGTTGACTGTCAACCTGTATATGATGCGATCACCGTGCCAGTTAAGAACCAAAGCAACTCATCTTTGCATTTGCAGAATTTGCAGACACCACACATTTAAGATGTTCAGTTATCTCAGAAATGAACCATCTAACCATCAGATCTTCCACTAGTCTTGTGTATTTTCAATAATGTCCCTTAACCTTCCTCAATTTGTCAAACTGAAATATCTATCATTTGATATGCAATCCATCCCTTTCATTATTTTATATACCTATATCAGAACATTTTTAAGTATGCTCCTGTGAAATAAATACTTCCAGCTCTCCACGTCTATATGGTAGCTAATTTTTTAAAGGTAGGAATCATTCTTGTAGCATTCTGTGAACAATTTCCATGGCTGCTATACCATGTGCCATACAAGAGGACCAAAATAGACTGCAATACTCTGGATGTCTTCCAACTAAAGATAAATACAATGACAAATCAAACAATGATGATGCACTAATTTTTATGATGGAAGGGTGTTGTATATTTGTAGACTTTTTTTTAAACCAGTTATGTAGTTTACGTGTACTGACCTTCAGTGCGGTTACAAATTCATTTTCCATCAATATATTTGTGTGCTCAAGTGAATCCTTCATGGAGGCATTCTTTGTTAGCAGCCCATTGAGTTTCACCATGTCATTAGACAGAGCACGCATGTGACGTTCAATGTCTTTCTTTGCATTCAATCCTTGTTGTATCATGTCTACAGAAGAAAATACGTTGGATTTGTTGTGTGAAATAACACTGTTGAAGTAGAGGACAGGCTGGGTGTATGTCAAGTTGAAAGGAAATAGGCAGATAGGTGGTCAGGGTGGTGGTCGGAGGGGATTTGGTACAAAATGATATCTATGATCTTTATGCAAAGCCCGTGACATAACATTATGACAGGGTTGGATTTTTGCTGCCAAGGCAGGTAGCTTGAGTTGGAAAATTTCCTGAATTTGCAGACCTGCTCCCCATGTGATGGACCCCATCAAATGCAACTTTTGTTCTGGAGAGATGGGAATGGGGGTTGCCATGTCAGAAAGTGGTCTAGAAGTGGGTCAAATGCTGGTTAGAAGGCCTACCATTGTTGTTAGAGACTTCAGCTCAGTTTTTTTAAAGAGCTGTTAGACCCTATAAATCTCTCCTTTCATCCCCCTCCACCCACCTCTATGCCCTCTCCAGGCTAATTCATAACTCCTGTGCCACTGCACATATATCATGCTTGTTCCATGCCATCTGACGTCTCCATACCATCTCATATCTTATTCTACATCTGCATTCACATTCCAGTATCTGATATTGGCAGACTCAGAAACCATGTGGAGATGAAAAAAAAATCCTAACAACTGAATAGAGCTGTTACTCAAGCACTTGATAGTGTTTATATTTCTACCAAAACAAAATTCATGACTCCTACAATGCTGGTTAAGGTCCCATGGTTCAGTGAAAACAGGACGCCTTTAAATTCAGCACTGTTTACAAAAGGCCCAATGGACCTGTTTTGCACCTGAGAATTCATGTTCATCACTGCCAGGATATCCCTGAATTAACTAACATCCTTATGCCGATGCCATTTTTAAAAAGCCATTGTGATCCAGACAAGTACTATTAGTCCAGAACTGACAAGTACTTTCCTGATTTTTGACCCAGATATGGCAGAGAAGGGATAGTTGATGCCTTGCTTTGTGAGCAGGGACCTGGAGGTCCTGCCGATTAACGTTCCCTTCTCTGCCACATCTGGGCCTAACACCAGGAACTGTGCTTGGCAGCTCTGGATTAATAGTGCTTGTGTGGACGCACAACGGCCTTTTAAAGATGGCAGTGGCACAAAGTTGCTGGTTAATTCTGGAATATCCTGGCAGTGATGAATTGTCTTGAGCATAGCGAGTGGTAGAATGGGGCTAGAACCAGAAAATAAGGCCACCATATGAGTGGAATTGATAGTTAATGAAGTAAGAGAACTTGCTAGGTATTGCAGAAGAAACCCTCCATGAAATTCAAAGAAAATAACAATTAGTTAACAAACATAAAATTCAGCCCCTGGTCTTTCTAGAAATGCACGTGGCACTGGTGAAACCACAACTGCAGTATTGCAGACCGAAACGTCAGCCTCTCTGCTCCTATGATGCTGCTTGGCCTGCTGTGTTCATCCAGCCCTGCACCTTGTTGTCTCGGATTCTCCAGCATCTGCAGTTCCTACTATCTCTGGAGTATTGTACACAGGTTTATTTCAATTTCTAAGGAAACATATTCTTGCACTGCAGGTGACAGAGCGTAACTTCATGATATTGGTTCTACAGAAGAGTGAATTGTTGTATGATAACGAATTAAGTTAATTAGGTCTATATTCTCTGAACTTTAGAAATTGAAACATACAAGATTCTGAAGGAACCTGACAGGAAAAAACACCTAGAGGTTGTTTACCCAAGCTTGGGAATCTAGAACTCGGGCAGTCTCAGGATAAGGAGCCCAATCATTTCGGACTGATGTTAGGCAACATTTCTTCTCTTAAATGATTGTAAGACCTCAGAATTCTCTATCTCAGAAAGTTGTGGATGCCCTGTTGTTGAATAGATTAAAGCCCAAAAGAAACAGATTTTGGTCTTTTAGGGAATAAAGGCATATGGGAACAGGGTGCACAAGGAGAGTGCAATTGTGGAACAGATTCAAGGTGTTCTCCATTTGGTCTATCCTGCTCCTATTTTCTACATTATTACGTCCTTACAGTAAATTGATATGTTTTAAGGAAGGTAAGTATAAAGATTATTTGAGTGTACAACGTTAAGGTTTGAGTTCAGATTGATTACTAGCCTCAAATTGGTATCAACTTACTTTCAGTTCGGATTTTCTTCTGTTGGAGTATTGTGACCTGTTTCTTCTGCAGTTCCACCTCAGCTGTCTTCTTTTCCCTTTCTTGGGTCAGTCGAACTAACTCATGCTGTTGTTTCAGCCAGTACTGTTGCTGTGTTGAAATTTCTTTGTTGTGTTCCTCAATGCTTTTTGTCAAAGATTTGATTTTGAGTTCCAGAGGGCTCATTTCATGTCCCTAAACAGTAAAGGTGGATATTATGTTAATTTGAACATTAAGCCCCTCCTACACAAAACTAATTTGAAATGATCACATCTTTAAAGCATCTTGGGTGAAAATATCTGACCTTGCATGCAACATATAAGCACAGTAAACCACGGTATCAAATACTCAATGCACATTACGACCTATCTTTTTCATGATCTTAAATCCAGATCGTTGCATCTCAATATTTTCCATAATATTTAAATATAAATACTGGTACAAGTCTGGCACTCTGATTGTGGAGCTCAATCTGAATATTCTCAAGATAACAAGGTGTAGAGCTGGATGAACACAGCAGGCCAAGCAGCATCAGAGGAACAAGAAAGCTGACGTTTCGGG